AAAGCATCAGTGCTCTTGTTTTATAGATTAGGGAGTGAAGGCAAAGTTGGCCAAGGTCATTCACTGAGGAATTAGTCAAGCTGGAACTTGAACTTGCCCTGCTCCAAAACCCATGCCCTCTCTGCTGTGTGACGCCTCAAAAAGATACAAGTCTTGAACAACCATCTTTCCATCTTTGCACCAACTTCATTCCCTCTTGTCCACAAACAGCTTCTGCTAAGCACCCCCAGCTCTTGTTAGTTAAGCAAGAAAGGGAAAAGGAATCATTGAGAAGAAGCAATTGAGAAGAAGCATGATCAGGTTTTGAAAGCATGGCTTTGTGGGATGCAGACTGGTCCGCAAGGTGGACCCTACAGTATCTCCTGAAGTGAGATCACTAGACAGGATTTCATTTCCTGTTCCTCTGTCTTTTCTTCCATTCTTCTTCCTTTAAACAAGCAATATCTGTTATCCCAAAGGCCATTCAAGAGCTACATGGATCATTTTTATCAGTGTGTGACAAGAGACTGAAGCAGCTGACACAGGTTATATGTAGTCACTTCCTAGCTTGGCAATAGTCCTGGAGCAGTAGTATTATATCATACATTATTATATGTATTATTAACACTAGTTGTTTAGTTTACATCTCTTCATTCATGCATCTGTCTATCAGACCAAAACATTATAATTTGGTAGGGAGAAAAACAGTTAGAATCTAATATTGAAAATTGCCATCTATCTCAATGCCTCTCACCCACTGAATGAACAAAGTCGAGCCTCTTAGCGGGGTGTATAAGATGCTCTCAAGCTGCTTCCGACATCCTTGCAGCATTTCCCCACATTGTGTGACTGAACTGATTCTATTCCCACACAGATATCCTGCTGTTCCCTTTGCTCAATTGGGATGAATGGTGCTGTGTCAACTTAAGCTGGGAAGTACATTCTCCAGAATCTCTTTCTAGGTAAGTTTCCAAGCTAGAGGAACATGTGTGAGATTTGGAAAGCAGACGTGAAGCTGTGGGCATTCTTCTGAAGGTGTTTGCAGGCAGAGACTATGACGGACAGACAGAGGTACACGATAGGTTCCAGCCTGGCCTCACTCCTCTCTGCTCTGCACCAGCTACTCTTCCTGACTACTGGTACTGCTGAGCGACAGTGGTCTCAGGTCTACCACCAAATCCGTGGATAAGGATCACAGAGCAGTAGCTAACCAGAGGCAACAGCTCACCACAGATTCCCTGACAAGGTCCATCTTTGTAGTTCCACCTTAGTGGTTGGAAGTGTTTACTCCAACTTGTTCCTTCAGGCTAATAATCTTCAGGAAGTTGGCTTAGTGACCTGTTTTCTGATTTGCAACTCCACTTCCCCAGTTTTTCCCCTAACTCTAACAGAGGCTCTGGTTCCCTTACTCAACCTGATGACACATTCCTTTGGCCTATAATGTAGGAAGTCTCCCTGAAACCCAAAGCCAGGCTAAATTTTTTTTCCTCCATGCTCTCATGGCTTCCTGTGCTTGGCTCTGTGGTAACGCATATTACCCTGCATTGTAATTGAGTGGCTATGGTCTTTTTTATTAGGCCATAAGTCCTCAGAGGCCAGGATTTGAGTTTTATACATCTCTGAACCACAAGAACTCAGTGCAACACTTGACACCTCATAGGTGCTCAATAAAGATTCATTGAACTGAGTGGCTTATTAATACAGATGGGAAAGTGTCTATGGCAGTCACCATCCTCCTGAGATACTGGCTACTCTGTTAAACCAAGATGAGTCCTGGGAAGAGAGGAGTTGGATTAGGAATAATGATGGGCTGCTTCACCTTCAACCAGCCTAGGAAGAGCATGTGCAGCTGTTATGAGAAACAACTGAGCTCGTGTTCATGCACACCCTTGTTAATTGTAAAGGTCCTTTGTAAGTTAAGAAATGATTATGACTGCAGCAGAAGCTTCTATCTGCTCCTTCATTTCTCCTCTGTTTAGCTCTGTTACTATTGGGCAAAAGAAAATGCTGGTGTGTAAGTAGTACCACGCTATGACCTCAGACCTCAATTCCTTGATATTAAGTCACACATTTTGTGTTGTTATTCTGAAGATCAAATGAGAAAATGAATATGTGTTGAATGAATGGCTGCTCTTCCTACTCAATTCCTCAGATTCAGTAGTTCAAATCCTTGTTTAACTCCCAAAGAGGAAGGGCGGATCATGGAAAGGGAATTATAAAATGCTACTGCCATCACAGGGTGCTCTACTGTCCCATCAGGCCCTGGGATGAGGTCTAACTGGGCCTGAAGCCTGAGGAACTCTGCTCCTTTGACTCCTCAAAAGGAGGAGTACATTAACCTCTGAATGTTGCCTTCAGGATTAGGAACAAAAGTAATCTCCTAAAGGATTAAATTACTGTAATCAGAAGAGAATAAACCAGAATTCTGCTAAGCATTTCAAAATCCAATTTTTATCTCAAATACTGTCCTGTGATAATTATAGTAATTTACTGAAACATCTCATCACCTAAAATGTTATATTCAGATTATCAAACTACTAGTACTGACTTAAGGAAGCCACAGATGTTCAACAGAACACATAGATCAAGGGAGTACTGGGAATTCTCAACTGATTAGAGATGTTGTTAAAGGTATTTTGGAGTAATAAGTAGTTTCCAAATAGATACTGGAGCAAGGGTAGATTCAAAAAAGCAAAATGGTTCATAAAAGCATTTAGGATTGAGGTATATGAACATCAGAAACTTTAAGGACAAGATATCCTACTCAGAGATGTGCTGTCATTTGACCAGGTCAGAGGATAGAAAGAGTTTGGTTAACTAAATGTTCTGGTATTACTACAAGAATTAATATGCAATAAAATACACTTGACATTAAACCTGTGGTAATGGTAATATGTTTTCTCTTTGCAACATATTGTCTTAAAGTTATTATCATAAAAATCAACCTTACTTTCTGCAAAATAGGCAAAAGTTGATGAATAAATTGCTCCAGACCCATATAAACAGATCCTAAGTTTATGGGTATGTTCTATTGAAAGTGTCCTTCTAGCTAACAACTCCATTTAAGAAATTTCCCAAAGAATCTATCAATCCATAAAATAGTCAACAATATTTTTACATGAGCAAACTTTTCTGTAAACCACTTGCACTATGGAGGCATTAGGAAAGGGAAGGGAAGACTTAGTTTCTATCTTTGGGAAGCTCACTATGTGGGCATGATAGTTTCGTGCTGGGTGTGGCAAATATTTCTGAGTTGGTTAGTCACTTTCCACTGTGTGCCTCTGCTGGCCCTGTCCTGAAAGTCCCCAGTGCAACACTGTGCACATGTGACCAAAGCCCATGAAAACAGAAATTAAATCCAGTTTAATTTTTTCTTTACAAATAGGATCTTTCCTCCGTTTTCTCTCCCAAGAGGAGCCCTCACTTCCCCACCATGCTTTGTTTTCTAATTGCTGTTTATTTCTGTGAATTTGAATTTCTTTCTTTTATTTTTTTCAAAATATTGTTTCCTTTATTCAATGAATGTATTAAGAGATTTTTATGAGAAAGGTACCATGCCAGACACTGTTGGCTACAGAAGTGAATAGTATAAGGACATGGTCTCTCACACAAGAAGCTTACAATCTAAATGAGGAACCAATACACCTGTGTACAAACAACTCTGGTACAAAGTAGATGGGTTTGGGGCTGGTGGGGGTGAGCATAGAAGAAAGATATTGGATATGTTGAGTTTGAGATCTTGGTGGAACATCCAAAAAGATACTCCACTGGTAGTAAGCAATGAGGGGCTTGAATTTGAGGGGAATGATAGGGCTGAAAATAAATGTATTAGAGAGTAATCTGTATAGAGGTAGTGACTGAAGCTATGAAATTAGATTAGAACACGATTTCTCAACCATGGCACTGCTGAAGTGTTTTTTCAGATAATTCTTCATTGTAGGGAGCTGTCCTGTGCATTGTAGCTTGTTTAGGTGACAACCCAAAATGTCTCCAGACATTGCCAAATGTCTTCAAGGGGCAAAACTGGCCCTGGTTGAGAACAACTGGATTAGAAAGGCAAAGAGATGGTGTAAAAGATGAAAAGAAGATTATAAAGGACAAAATTCAGTGAAATAAGTTTATGGGGTAAGAGGAAGAAGAGAAGAACAAAAAACACACAGAAAAGAGATGTTCATTGAGGCCATAGATACGATCCTAAAACTCCTGGGGAAGAAAAGGGCTTCAATTTTGTGAATGAAGTTCAATCTGGGTGAATAATTAACATGTACACACATACGTCCAAAGACACAGCACGTCCCCTGCATGTAAACACACAAGATGCACGCATGCATAGATCAAAAGTATATATTGGGAGAAAGAAAGAATATTTTCCTAAACTCTTTCTTTATTTGTTCTTCTCATTTAGGAAGACTGTCCAATTTTATCAAATATTTGCAAATCTCACATCAGTTCTTTCTGAAAAGAGGTTTAAGTCAGAACAAATAAAATTGGAAGTAACTACAACTGTCTGCTTCCTTCTCCCCTTCCATGTCACTCGCATGTCCCATAACTCAGGCTTTCAATGTGCTCAGGCTCTCTGCCACTTCCCTAATAAGCAATAATAACCTCAAGAAAGATTTAGATGAACTCAGGTCTATATGGCTGTCAATCATTGGAAAGACTGACTGTGTCTCCACGTCTAATGTTTACAAGTTAAAGGGAGAAAATTCTTGTTTTTTTTAAGCCAAAGAAGTGAGAATCTAAATCCCTAAATTTGGAATTTTAGGAATCAGGAAGCCTTGGGAGAGAGCTTTGTTGTTGTTGTTGTTATTGTTGGAGGTGCCTTCCCCAGAAGCCCAGAAATGGACCACCTTTGTAGCTCTGGTACACCCAGAAGGCTAGATCCATTGCTCCTGCTTAGGGGTCCTTTACACCAACTGGAAGAATCTCCTTGTCTAGTCAATCCATGTCCCTACTTTTGTGGAGAGAGGGCATCTAGGATTCCTAGCCAGAAAAGAATCCCAGTGAATGAGGTGCACAGCCTAGGCACATGCAGGAAACAAGCTTAGGGTGGAAGAGTCAGGCAGGAAGATCATTCCTGTGACAATCATCCTCAATGCCTTGCGAAACCAAGGGTAAGACATGCCATATATCATGGGATTGAAAGTGGAGTTGAAATAACCCAGCCAGAGGAAGACATTGTACAAATCCTCTGGGGTTGTGAAATTAACAAAAGGGTCTGTGATTGTCAAGACAAAGAAGGGCAGCCAGCACAGCACGAACACTCCCATGACTATGCTGAGGGTCTTGGTGGCCTTGCTTTCTCTTTTGGATGATGCCTGCATTTTGCTTTCTGCCCCAGCCTGTTTTGTCCTAGGACCTGTGCCAATTTGCTTAGCATGCTTCCTGGCCACTGTGAAAATGCGTATGTAAATCCCCACCATGACTGTCCCAGGGAGAAAGAAAGCTATGAAAGAGGCCAGTACCCCCCAGAGCTTGTTAAATACCAACACACACAAACCTGTGCAGTCAATGGCTGCAATAAAATCTTCTGTACCAATTGCGTTTAATTCTGAGAACACCAGGCCAAAGGCAAAAATGAGGGGAATGGACCAACTGGTGAGTAGAAAGACCTCTATAACAGGGATGGTAATTTTGGTGACATAACGCAGGGGGTCACAAACAGCGTAGTAGCGGTCCACTGAGATGAAGCAGAGGTGAAAGATGGAGGTGGTGCAGAGCATGATGTCACAGCAGCTGTGGACTTTGCAAAAGAGGTCTCCAAAGTACCAGCAGGACTCGATGGACCGGATCATACTGAAGGGCATGACCACGCAGCTCAGCAAAAAGTCAGTGGTGGCCATGGAGAGGATCAGGAAGTTGGTTGGGGAGTGGAGCTGCTTGAAGTGAGCGATGGAAATGATCACGACCATGTTGCCCAGTATGGTCATCACTATAGCCCCAATCATGACCGTGTACATGGCCCAGACATTCAGCACAGACCTCACATTTCTAGGGCACGAATTGTTAACCAAAGCAAAGCAAAACTGTACTTCCGGGGGGTTCTGGGGGTCAGGTGGATACATCGTCTTTGTCCAGTGGGTACTTCCTCTATTTTCTGTGTAAGAAAGAAGAAAAACAATAACATTCATGGGCAGGACAAGTTTTTAGAGAGGCCCAGCAAGCTTGCACTTCCAAACCAAGTTTGAATTCCCTACTGACCAGGAGGACTGCTTCCCGAAACTTCATGTGCGCAGAGATCACCTAGAGATCGTTTTAAAGCACAAATTTTGATTCTGGGGTAGGGCTGAGAGTCTGCATTTCTCGCAAGCTCTCAGGAGATGCCAATGCTGTCAGTCCAAGGACTGCTCCTTGAGTAGGAAAAGGTTAAAGAAAACAGAATTCATATTCAGTCATCCAATGTATAAGTAACACAAATGAATACATGTTCCAGTTGCACTAATATGTAGCCCTTACTCAAATTCTAAATTCACGGCAGATCAAGAATTTTCCCTGTCTTGCTTATATTAGCCAGATATTTTGGATAAAAGCCCTTTAAGAATTATCAAGAACTGTGGAACTATTATTTAATGTTCAGCTTAAGCAATAATTATGATCTGAAAATTATGCTACTTCTTTTTTAAAAAAAATTCTCTGTGGACATTTGCCAATGCTTTTGATCCTGTCACTTATTACATGCTATTCAATTAAGGAAACTTTTCTGTTTCCAGTGTGAAGAACAGTTTTTAGAACCTAGAGCAATATTATGGCAAACTAAATATGTGCTAAAGATGACAAGGTTATACATGAATAATCTCAAAAAAAGGAGGAAAAATACCTCAAATAATAGATTCTGTATATCTCATGGTTATCTCCTTTCATTTAGCAGATGCATTCATGAATGCAAATTCAGGTTGAGGTCCCCTTGTTCTCATATTTCAAGTTTTACATTTGGTAACAAACATGAAATATATGAGTGCTTATTGTTAAATCTGTCATTTCCAATCATTTATGTTGTTGCCTTTATAATGTGAAAATAATGGGAATGACTCTCCCAGAGTATGACATGGGTTTTTGTTTGCTTTTCCAGTGTCAGAGCTAGATGTGTAATTCTACTGACCAACGGCAAGCATTTGTGAAATCTAAGGCCAGTTGAAGTGGACTTTGGCCTGAGTATAGACTAAAACTCACTAGTCTGTTGGGGAAATGGACCTAGAAGCAGCACATCCTCACCAGACTTGCTTGAAAAAGACACTAAAGAGAATACAAGCACCTTTGAAAATAATATTTCCACTATTTGCTAGAGTAGCCCAGCAGTTATTTCCAATGTCTTTGTATTATTTGAAATCTTAACATTATGACACATTTTATTTCCTCTGGATACAGTAATTTAATTTCTCAAATTACACTTTTTTTTAGATATTTTTTAATTGTACCAATTAAATGTTATGTAATTGAGTTGAACTTGAGGAACCAAACCACGGGAGAGTAAAACGTAAGAAGGATAAGAAATCATTCAGCTCTTTTATAAAGTACAGAGTATGAATCAGAACACACAGCACAAATTATCTGATCACTTGTCACTTTGGTTACTAAGCTCTAAGAGGCTGAAAATAATGAAAACTTAAACACCTAATTAAATCAAATTTAAAGTTCTTTTTAAAATTATTTCTAAAGACACCTAACTAATACCACAAAATTGCTTAAGCATTTGTCACTATATATCCATAGATATAGCATTCCCCATGCAAAATAGTATATATACTTCATTATGTAGTTTTTGAAATTTTAAATTTCATTTTTAAAAACCTAATCCTAAGTTTATATAGTGAATTTCTTTAAAAAAAAAAACATGATATGAAACAACTTCTAGAAATGAACAGTATTCTCTCATGTTCCTTTTGCATAGTTCAATATACAGAAGAATATTTAAACATTTAAGTGTTAGATTAAGACAAGAAGATAGACACACATGTTTATTTTAAAAATTACTACATAGGTGAATTGTTAAGGTAATGTCAAAGATAAGAATAATTTTAAACCCATATCTTAAGCTCTTGGCCAAAACTTAAAATTACAAAAGCAAGTAATCAAACACAAATATGACTGCTAGCCTACTACTTTGTTAAAAGGGAATTGTTAGGAAATCAAATCGAGTTAGAGTTTTGTTTGTTACATAAAAACCTAACAGAATAGAGATTCCTTTTCTTTGGAGAGTCATCTTCAAAAAAGATATACATAACAATTTTTTAATAAAATAAATTTAACCCCTGTATGATATCTCACTTTTATCATTGGAAATTGTTTTATCTTTTTCTCTCTTTACCAATAACATTTCCCCAAGTGTCGGCAACAAAGAACTAAATTAATTATAACATTGCGAACAATCATCTAAGGAAAGCATAGGAAATTATTAGTTATTTCTTCTAGAAGGTAGAAAGAAACATTTGCTAACAATTCTGTAGAGGAGAAAAGCAAGAACTCAATAGTTTTTTAGTTCAAATTTAGTTCTTTAAGAGAAAAGATCACAGACTAATGAAACAGACCTCTGAAGGCCTCTGAAATAATGATTATGAAAATGTAAAAGCTTTTTACAATTTCAAGAAAAAAAGAAATTAGGAAATAATTTTTTCCTTAAGTACTAAATGCCTAAAATCACATGAGCATATATGTGTTTCCCTCAAATACAAAGGAGAAATTTTTAACAAGTTCAATAATGCATTGTAAATAAATGGAAAAAATTAGGAGAGAGATAAAACACCTGTTTTATTGGGCATGATTTTTCTTTTCTTACTGGTTACATAGCCCAAATACTCCACTTCTAGGGCTATTTCAGCAAAACTAATGATTTTTATCTTACTTTGGTATATCTCACTCATATAATAGTTTCTTAGATAAGGGAGATTATTTGTGAATCAGATTTAAGAAAGATCTCCTGTGGGTCTTCCTGTCATTGTCTCTTTAGAATCTCAGTGATTTTTTAAAAAATGATCCAGACATTTCTATAGGTCAGTATTTTAAGTGTGGTTTCTTTCGACATGCCAAAATAGCAAGTAAACAAAGAAAAAATAAATCTAGCTGACTTGTTTCTCTCCTAATAGAGTCTCCTTTGGTTGATCAAAATTTGGCTAATTAGGTCATTTGGAGTTAACATCATTGAAAGGTGAACTATCTGCTGTGCTATGGTTTCTTACCAGGCAAATGAGCCTCGTGCTCCCTCGCTCTCCTCCCTGCTCATTTCCCTCCAGTAAATGCACTTAGGCCCACTCTACAGTAGGTAGACTCCTTGCAGACTGTGCTGTCATCAGTATTTATGCACAAAATATGCCTCTTGAGGCAGCAGTACCTTGCGTCCTGCCTTTGACAGGTGTGTCTTTCACAACCTTCAGTGTGCTGCCAGCAAGAGATTACAGTAAGTCACCAGAGAATTGGCTCCAGGCGGGGAAATCAGTTTTGTGCTATCATTGCTATGGCCTCAGAGAGACAACATGGACTAGCCTCACACAAGGCCAAAGGTAGGGAAGAACACAGAAGAGGGAAAGAGAGAGAGTGAGAGGGAGAGAGGAAAGGAAGGAGGGAGGGAGGAAGGGAGAAAGGAGAAAATTTAATTCAAATCTAACACAAGCTCATTCCACTTATGACCAAATGCTAGATAATGTTTTCAAATAGTGAATTTTTTGATCTCCAGTGAAAGTTTGACTCAACTTCTATCTTTTCCTTTTGCTATGATGCACGAGTCAGTGATATTCCTTCACACTGCAGTTCCTTAAATCTACAGTTTTTCAAATAAAGGTCCTAGCCCAAGTAAAAAGCAAAAACAACAATATTTTGAAACAACCAGGATGAAAAGTGGAATCTTCCATCACCACCTGGCTATTTTTATGATCACTGGGAAAGGCATTTCTATCAATGTGCCATAGCTCCAGACACTAAGCTTCAGGTAGTTTACATTGAAAATTTAATCACCCATCAAGACCACAAAATCATTACATTTAAATACACAACACTTTCTAGAACATCAAAACTTAAGTATTGATCAGTTAATACCAATTCAATGGTGAGTACATGTGGTGCTTGTCTTTCCATTCTTGGGATACTTAGTAGAATGTGTTCCAGCTCTATCCAGGAGTATACAAGAGGTGCTATATCACCATTGTTTCTGTATTAGCTGATCAACACATAAGTGCACAT